TACTATTTTGTCATCCATACTAATATTTGAAATGGAGAGTTACTCATCCATATATAATAGTAGAAATGGAAAGTATATCCCTCAATTCAATTCTAATTGCTTTATATTTCACAAGGCACATAGACTATCATCTCTAATCAACAAAAATCAATTTCATCTAAAAAACAAGGATGCGACGTTAGTAACATATATTGCGAACAACCTATGTACCGATGTTTAAATGTGTGACGTGAAATGTCTGTGTGCGAAGGGGGAGAGTATTAATAATAGGGACTGGAGGCCCTCAGGTCAACCTACACGCGAACTCACCTAGCAATAAGCTCGATGGTTACCAGGGAGACCGCGCAGATCTAGGTACTGGGTAGTCCCCACCGCCAGCGGGTGTTTGCTACCCCCTCTCTTATTCAGGTATTAGTAGTAGTTGTTTGATATCGAGTTGCATCCGGGCCTGCGTCACGTTACCGCGTCGCATCGCCAGTTGATGCCACAGGCGGTCTGGTGTGCCACAAGTCATAAGAGACGAGCGAGTTTCAATAGAGTGAAAAGCGCATGGTAATTTTCATATGTGACATCGATGCTGGAGAGTATCTTCAATGAAATAACTATTACCAATTCGCAATAGTCTTGCTAATTATACTAAATTCATCTTAAGGTAAGGACCTTGTGTTTTATTCGAAAACTTAATTTTTATATTGGTTCTCTACCATGCCAATTTTGTTATATTGAGATTCGCGTTTTGTAAATTATAATGAGTATTATTTTATACAAGCACAGTATTATTACAAAGATTTTAATGTATCGTTGACCTTTGGTTGGTCACTGTTGTTCCCATTTCTGAGGACTATAGATTTTGAGTGCATGCTTAGTAATTATGATATGTTACTTTAATAATTGGTAATTAGGTTTGAAATCCAAAACCCAAATAAAATAAATTATTCAATTTCAATATCGTCGCAAATTTTGTTTTTATAAATATTTGATAATGCTTATTTTTTGTTTTGGTATTAGAAATTATTGGTAAATATAGCTTTGTTATAAAACATAGAGTAATTCATATAAATAATGCAATTTATTAAAATTTAAACAATAATTATGATTTAAAAGGATTTTATTCTGTATTGTACTGAATTGAGAGTCCACATTAGCGCGAGCGTCCAGCGCCTGAAACCGTGTGAAACACAAATTGTCGCTGCCGCTTATGATTTGTACTTATTCAATACTACGAAGCCTTCAATGAATGTCGATGGAACATGAAGCGAGGCCTCGCGTGGCGGCCATAAATAATAACATCTCGCGTTACAATGACATGCAATGTGCAATGACGGCGAATTCTTACCTTAGATCTTATATCCCGCGAGAGATCGGATTTTAAATGAAATCAATAATTAATACTAACCCTTTCCATGTAATTATACTTTAAAAATTGAGCAAATAATTCGTGTCCCTTGTATGGGGACATACGAACGTAACGATAAAAGGTCACTCCTCACTCCAGTGCTCTCCGTACGGGGATATACAAGCGCAACGATAAAACGACTGATGTCCCTCATACGGGGACATCAGTGCAAATGGCTAAATTTGATTTTTTTAAGTACCGGCCACCTATACTTATCGGTCTATGCACATGATCGGCCTCACAGGAGACACACATGCACAGACTTACGCACACACAGACAGACTTTGTACAATGTCTTATGAAATTAGTGATAAATTTCATGAACAATACTTAGATTGTTAAGGTGTGAAAGTGAAACTAAGGACATCATTTTTGCATTTATAATATAACGATTTCACATATCATGTTAGAACTTTACATTTTTTTTAACTCGAACACGTATTGTCATCATGTTTCTATGCAACGGTTACAATATTCACCATGAGCCTGAAAATCATGCTACTGTATGTCAGTACACAGTGTTATTACATATGTAATCCTCTTCGATATCAGTGTAGAAAGAGCTGGAAAAATAACGAGAAATTGTGTACTAGTTACTGAACCAATCTGTATTCGTTACTTTACTCAACGCGATTCAATTCAAAATATCTTTATTGATGTAGGTCTATTACACTCTCATGATATGTCAAATCAGTTCGGAAAGATTTCGAGATGAGAAGAACTGACAAGAAAGCTCGTATTCTTTTCAAATAAATGTTGTACATGTTTACAATAATACCGATTCATTTTAAGTAACTTTTATACACTTGAACCACAGAACTAGTCTGGCAACCTCATTTTTATTGATCGTAAGTGTTTTGCCACATCCCGTTTAATTTCCACGTCTGACTAATATTCTTTTTATACAAAAAAATACTGTGTTTTTGAGTTACACAACGCTGGTACAATAAATAGGTAACTACTGTAACTATGGTAGCTAAGTTTTAAAGTAACGATTTAGTCGATAGGGACGTCGATACAGGTGACGAACTAGTTACTCAGTACTTAGTACATACGATTTGCAACATCACTACTGCAGAAGCCACACGTATGTGCGTGACGTAACAAACTTGCTATGTGCCTGTTATTTCGGTCGCTGGGAAATATAAACTTGTATTTCCGTTATTGCCATTAATATATATAAGCAGATATTATAAGTATTTACTGATATTCGTACACTTTAATAAAAAAATAAAATAAACCTGGAACAAGTGGGGGTAGGGAATTGTTTTTTACTAATATACTGTTTGCTAACAATGTATTATATCTGTGTAACCTCCATGCGGTCCCCCCTGGAAATCATCTTCAAAATTCTTGGTGAATTTGCCATGGTGGGGTAACAGAGTTGATCTCATATTCATTTTATCATTCTTCACCGGACGAGGCGTCAGCGTTGTCCGTTGGCGCAGGCGGGTTCACCATACTTTTATCACTCATTAAATAAAGGTATTGATATCTATCTATAAATTTGTGAGTATGGATGTTTGTTACTCTTCCACGTAAAAACTACTGAACGGATTTTGATGACACTACAGTAATATAGCTTATGCATCAGAATGGCACAGGCTATATTTTATATTGAAATTTGACGCGGTTGAAACAGCGGGCACAGCTAGTTTATTATATAATCTTTATTGCACTTTCAAATGACAAATTTAAATAAATATTAGAAATAGTGTTAGCAAAAGGACTCATCTCTAAGAGATCTCATCCAGACATCTAAAACTTTGTGACACCAGCAGTGAAGTGTGGGTCACAGAAGTTATACAACAGGACAATTTACACAACGCCGTCTAGTCCCAAGCTAAGCAGAGCTTGTGTTATGAGTACTAGATAACTGATATAAAATACATGGATACATCTTTTTGTAAATAAATACACACTTAGATAACACCCAGACCGATACAAACAATCATACTCATGAATACAAATGTTTGTACCGTGCGAGGAATTGAATCCTCGACCATCGGATAGTAATTGTATGCTGCACCACTAGACTACCGCTGTCAAAGTGAGCAAATAATAAGTGTAAGAAAAGACAAAAGTAATCATGGTATTGCAACTAAAACTGCATTTGGTACTATAACGAGCGTTTTATACGACTTTGTGGCCAATCGTAAAACAATATATCAAGGACGGAAAGCCTCGTATAATGAAGTTTCTGTATTCGCGATAATGTTGGCGAGAACTCTGCGAAGGCTGCTTCCCTTGGCAGAACCGAGTATGCGATACTAGTCGCATTGACGTCACCAGATCGTTATCTGTTAGTATTTAATTAAAGTAACTAAACTACTGTATTTACTGTATCTAATGAAATATTATTTGATGGTCTTTGTGTTTGATTAAAACTTGTAATATATGAAAATGTCGTAGTGTTGTTGTCATCGAAACGTTCGAATGATTTTTATTTAAATTTTTCGTGATTTTTCTTTAGGTCTGAGAATAGTTTGTGGTCTGAGAATTGTTATTTTTTATACACCTAATTGATGATGTAGAAATGATTTGTATGGTAAAGGAACGTTTGCTGTGTGCCCTTGTAGGTGTCTGTTTATATTCTTTCATTCATAATTTAACGCTCTTGTCGGTGGAGCTCTTGCCACTTCCCACGATCTTCCATTATGCTCTATAATACTCTCTTTTGTATGTATATGTTTAAAATGGAATAGCTAACATTTTAATGGGTCTGAACCATATTTTAACGTTACTGACAAATCTCACCCGAAACACAGTACTGTTTGGAAACAGCTATGAGAAGGCAATAACTACTTTGTACAATGTAGACGAAGGGAAAATGTACAGTAGCTTGATGGAATGTATTGTATATCGAATGACTTTGGTTACCATTCGGAAGAAATACGTAAATAAATAATGATGAATAAGTGTAGAGGATTCGGTTGCCACAATAAACTTATTTTAATTATTGATTATAAATTTCATGACCTATACTTGAAATTCGGAATTAGTTTCTAGAGGCAGGTGCCGGTTACCAGCTGCTTATTTTCTATATCTTACTAATATTATAAAATATTCACCTGTAACCCGTGCTTTAGAGATACTTAACAATATCAGAAATGATATTGATACTTTTGATTGTAGTCTGCCGAAGATCACAGAAGCCATTCAAAAGTATCTAGAATTTTTATAATGTTTATATTATGTAATAAAATATGTTATGTTGTAAATTGATATATATATATATATATGTGTATACTGTACTAAGTTGCGACACCGATTTGGATATACTGTAATGGTGTTGTAATATTGAAATTAATAAATAAATAAATAAGATAGTTTGTGAGTATGGATGGATGTTTGTTGCTGTTTCACGCAGAAACTACTGAACGGATTGGAAATTTTACAGTAGCTTATACATCGGAATAACACATAGACTATACATTTCATGCGGGTGAAATCAGGAATGCCGAAAACACGAGGGGTTACCGACCTTTTAGGAACCTTAATATACCCTTCTTAATTTTCATGCATGTGAAACCGCGGGCACAGCTAGTACTTTAATATTTGTTGAAGTAATGTATATTTAAACGTGTAATGTGTTTGTCAACAGAGACATCAGTACAGCGCCAGGAGAGTAGTCGGTGCGTTGCAACAAGAGGTCCGGCCGGCTGCCGTCGAGGGTGCATGACGCTTCACACACCTAACAATACTGCTCGCAGGTATATACCATGCCTTCACGACTGTTATCTGAAACGGGGTGGTCAGAAATGGTATTTCTGCAATCCTCAGATGATGGTATTTGCGTTACATAAATGAAATAGATAAGGGATAGAGAGTAGATGTAATATAAAACAAATACACTAATTTGTCGTTTCTCTGCATACTTTTTGTTAACCATGCAACAGATTTGAATACGGTTTATGTATTGTTAACCGGGTCTTAATACGAATAATTTTATGATAAATTAAGGTATTTACCTCTCTCGACGTTTGGACTGGAACATATGCCGGATGACTGACTCCTTGTAGTGTAAGTGACGAGGAAATGATGAGGTGGTTGTGACAGTAACAGGCACCGGAAACTGCTGCCGCTTCGGCAGACGTGACTGGCGCGCGTCGCGGGAGCTCTCGCCCGCATGCCGCCTCGCTGACCGCCTGCTGACCGCCCGCTGACCGCCCGCTGACCGCCCGCACCACGCGGTTTCCACGCCACGCCACCACTCCACTACCTGGTAAGTTCATGTATGCATCTGTCGTTGTGAATTTTTTCCTTTATAATTTTCATGAATATTTTTTTTTATTTTAATCTAATTTTTGTAGCGAGAAATGAACATTCATATGTACACATAATGAAAAAAATGAATGTAAAAATGAAGGGTACGGTATTGGAGAAAAATATTATTAAAGAAAACAAGACATAGTGTAAAATTGTAATACAAGAAGTAGAGTGACGATCGATGTCAAAATATTAGAAAACTATCATTGAGGTTACACAACACACGGATCCTATGTCTGTGTAACTTTTTAATTTCTGGTAGTATATTATCTACCGTTAGAAAAATGATTATTTTCTATTTTTTGGTATGTTATTTATATGTACATAAGTTTTGTCACTCCTTTTTGTTATAATAAAACGTTCTACAAAGATAACTGCTCTCATATAATATTCCGAATATCGAATCAATAAAACTCAACTTGTGTAGGGTTGTAACGAAAGCCTGAACGATTTGGTCGGATTTATTTAAAATAAATTTTTATAAATAGAATTTCCAATGTCTAATTCTTTTGTTTTTTTTTTAATTTTTGTTTGTTGCTAGTTACAAATATGTGTAATTCTATTTTTTTTTACTAATGTTTATTGACTGCCAGTTACAAATGTGTTTCCATACACAATTATATAATAATGGCGGTTACATTAACAATATTCAATTAGACAATGATATCATCCAATTATAATTATGCAGTCGATTGTGAATGACTCGACATGATGAATCCTATGATTTCAGTTTCGGTTCATTAATTACGTATGAATGGATAAAGGAAGTACCACATTTATAATCAAAATGCGTGTCCGGTTTGTAAGGTGAGATATGGTAGTGAAATTACAGGGGTAAGAGGGGTCACAAATTAAATTTATGATGTCCGTGGTGCTATCATTTGTAATAGGTGGCGGTTCAATTCCATACAGTTACATAAAAAGATATATCCCAATCTTTTAGCGAACGTTGTTTTTATCTCTGGTTTAACATATTGTTTTAGCGTATACTGCCTTATTCCAAATGATCGTAGATGCGATTCCCGCATAATACAATTATATATTCATAAGTATGATTTTTTGTCTGTATATATTAAAAAAAATATATATGTGTTTCTATCGCTTTTTTGGTACCTCTCAAGTTCTTCAAAGTTTGGGACTAGATAGCGCATTGTGATATATTTTGCGTTTTTTATTTATATAAAGCAAAGCCCACGGGTCTGCTTTATACGATACAAAACAAATTTATGATTTGGAACCTTAAAAACCCTATAGTAATTGTATACCATACTACAAAATGACTTCTTCGTTCTGTCAAGAACATATCGAATGAGAATTACACTTAGATTATGGAATTAACTACCTGCCGAGGTTTTTTCAAGAAGGGTATATTAAGGTTTCTTAAGGGTCGGCAACGTGCACAAGACTCCTGATGTCTCAGGCGTCCATAGGCTATAGTAACTGTTTACCATCAGATGGAGCGTCATCTCGTTACCACCATAGTAGTATAAAAAAAGAACCATATGTAATAATTTGTATGTAATATTTTAAGAAAGGTGTTACATATGAATGTGGATGGTTATAAGGGCAGAGGAAGGCCGAAAAAGAGATGGATGGACTGTGTGAAAGATGATATGGTAAGAAAGGATGTAAATAACACGATGACTGCGAACAGGGATGAATGGAAGCGAAAAACATATTACGCCGACCCCAAATAAATGGCATAAGGAAGAAGCAGATGATGATGTGTTAGGGAAACTACTCTGCTACCAAAATGTTAGGGAATTTACTCTCTGTATATATATATAGTGAAAAATGAGTGGAAGCGTCAGTCACGTACCTGTATGGTTCTGCGGATTTCTTGGGCTTCAGGGTCTCGAAGATATCTTCGCTAGCTTTCCAGTTTCACAGTAGGTTTCACAGTTCTAATTTATTTTAATTCACAACACAATGCGCGCGCGTCATGGCCGCCGTACAGTCTGTTCAGTACTAGGTAAGGGAGGGGAAGGAAAGACGCGGGAACACAAACTAACGGACTCTAATATAACAATCTGTGCTTACGATGTTACAGGGTAGATTTTGAACATGATGTAATAATTTGTATGTATTCTGTTTCAGATCCAGTGTCAAGAAAAAAATAAAAATATTGAACGCATCTATTGTAATTAGTTAGTTTTAGTAGTTGTACCAAACGAGCCAACCATGGGTTCCGTGAACGTGAACCGCAATGTTGCGGACGCGTTCTACCGCTACAAGATGCCGCGCATCTGCGCCAAGGTCGAAGGCAAGGGGAACGGCATCAAGACCGTCATTGTCAACATGCCGGAGGTCGCCAAGGCGCTTGGCAGACCCGCCACGTGTGAGTATACCCATACATATATCTATGTATAAAAAAATAAATTGCTGTTCTTTGATCTCACTAAAACCCGAAACTGAACCGATTTGGCTAATTTTAGTCTTCAAATATTGGTTGAACTCCAGGAAAGGTTTAAACGGTGATAAAATATGAAGAAATTGCATGTAAAATAGTGAAACATACAAACTGCTGATACCTGTGAAACAGGGTGCGTTCAGAAATTTATTGCGTAACTAAACTTCAATAAACATTTTACATATTTAATATTGAGGCGGAATGGAGTTTGCGGGGTTAATATATTAATATAAAATAGTAAATAGTGTACATAATAAAAAGAATCTATACCATCTAAAGCCCCATCGGCCCCAGTCGGTAGACAAAAAAATGGGTCTGTATTTTTTGTAATATAGTTATAAAACAAATATAGAATCTGTCATACTAGTGAGCGGGTGCTGCTTGTGGGGACTGGTCTATTCAGGTTACGGCTCCTGATCATAGTTGACTAGCTGACCCGTGCAACTTCGTCTGCATCACACTTATTTGACGTTTATCGATATATTTCGCCCAATTTACATATCTTTTGAAATATTATAATTATAGCCTTCTTTTGAAAGTCCTAGATCTTATGAAATTATAGCCTAGAAAGCCTATTGTAAATTGGGCGAAATATATCGATAAATGACAAATAAGCTGCATTTCTGTGAATTTTCATAAAAATCCGTTCAGTAGTTTTTGCATGAAAGAATAACATACATCCATCCATACTCACAAACATTCGTGTTTATAATATTAGTAAGATTATTTGTGGACTTTTTAACTAAAATCTTTTTTAATTTATAAAATCAATGTTACAAAGGGTACGAAATTGACTACGCAATTGTTAATAATAATTGATTAATTTATCACGTATCGTGTTTTAACAGATCCGACTAAGTACTTCGGCTGCGAGCTCGGTGCTCAAACGCAGTTTGATTTCAAGAACGAACGTTTCATTGTGAACGGGAGCCACGACTCCGCTAAGCTGCAGGACCTGCTCGATGGGTAGGTGTTACAATAAAAAAATGTTCTGGACGTTTTCTATGTATATTATATTAGGTGTTACAACAAAAAAAATGTTCTGGACGTTTTCTATGTATATTATATTAGGTGTTACAACAAAAAAAATGTTCTGGACGTTTTCTATGTAAATGTTCTGGACGTTTTCTATGTATATTATATTAAGTGTTACAATAAAAAAAATGTTCTGGACGTTTTCTATGTATATTATATTAGGTGTTACAACAAAAAAAATGTTCTGGACGTTTTCTATGTATATTATATTAGGTGTTACAACAAAAAAAATGTTCTGGACGTTTTCTATGTATATTATATTAGGTGTTACAACAAAAAAAATGTTCTGGACGTTTTCTATGTATATTATATTAGGTGTTACAACAAAAAAAAATGTTCTGGACGTTTTCTATGTATATTATATTAGGTGTTACAACAAAAAAAATGTTCTGGACGTTTTCTATGTATATTATATTAGGTGTTACAACAAAAAAAAATGTTCTGGACGTTTTCTATGTATATTATATTAGGTGTTACAACAAAAAAAAATGTTCTGGACGTTTTCTATGTATATTATATTAGGTGTTACAACAAAAAAAATGTTCTGGACGTTTTCTATGTATATTATATTAGGTGTTACAACAAAAAAAATGTTCTGGACGTTTTCTATGTATATTATATTAGGTGTTACAACAAAAAAAATGTTCTGGACGTTTTCTATGTATATTATATTAGGTGTTACAACAAAAAAAATGTTCTGGACGTTTTCTATGTATATTATATTAGGTGTTACAACAAAAAAAATGTTCTAGACGTTTTCTATGTATATTATATTAGGTGTTACAACAAAAAAAATGTTCTGGACGTTTTCTATGTATATTATATTAGGTGTTACAACAAAAAAAATGTTCTGGACGTTTTCTATGTATATTATATTAGGTGTTACAACAAAAAAAATGTTCTGGACGTTTTCTATGTATATTATATTAGGTGTTACAACAAAAAAAATGTTCTGGACGTTTTCTATGTATATTATATTAGGTGTTACAACAAAAAAAATGTTCTGGACGTTTTCTATGTATATTATATTAGGTGTTACAACAAAAAAAATGTTCTGGACGTTTTCTATGTATATTATATTAGGTGTTACAACAAAAAAAATGTTCTGGACGTTTTCTATGTATATTATATTAGGTGTTACAACAAAAAAAATGTTCTGGACGTTTTCTATGTATATTATATTAGGTGTTACAATAAAAAAAATGTTCTGGACGTTTTCTATGTATATTATATTAGGTGTTACAACAAAAAAAATGTTCTGGACGTTTTCTATGTATATTATATTAGGTGTTACAACAAAAAAAATGTTCTGGACGTTTTCTATGTATATTATATTAGGTGTTACAACAAAAAAAATGTTCTGGACGTTTTCTATGTATATTATATTAGGTGTTACAACAAAAAAAATGTTCTGGACGTTTTCTATGTATATTATATTAGGTGTTACAACAAAAAAAATGTTCTGGACGTTTTCTATGTATATTATATTAGGTGTTACAACAAAAAAAATGTTCTGGACGTTTTCTATGTATATTATATTAGGTGTTACAACAAAAAAAATGTTCTGGACGTTTTCTATGTATATTATATTAGGTGTTACAACAAAAAAAATGTTCTGGACGTTTTCTATGTATATTATATTAGGTGTTACAACAAAAAAAATGTTCTGGACGTTTTCTATGTATATTATATTAGGTGTTACAACAAAAAAAATGTTCTGGACGTTTTCTATGTATATTATATTAGGTGTTACAACAAAAAAAATGTTCTGGACGTTTTCTATGTATATTATATTAGGTGTTACAACAAAAAAAATGTTCTGGACGTTTTCTATGTATATTATATTAGGTGTTACAACAAAAAAAATGTTCTGGACGTTTTCTATGTATATTATATTAGGTGTTACAACAAAAAAAATGTTCTGGACGTTTTCTATGTATATTATATTAGGTGTTACAACAAAAAAAATGTTCTGGACGTTTTCTATGTATATTATATTAGGTGTTACAACAAAAAAAATGTTCTGGACGTTTTCTATGTATATTATATTAGGTGTTACAACAAAAAAAATGTTCTGGACGTTTTCTATGTATATTAATTAGGTGTTACAATAAAAAATAAAAAAAATGTTCTGGACGTTTTCTATGTATATTATATTAGGTGTTACAATAAAAAAAATGTTCTGGACGTTTTCTATGTATATTATATTAGGTGTTACAACAAAAAAAATGTTCTGGACGTTTTCTATGTATATAATATGCATTTCTGAAAACATTATTTAAGAATTTTTATATGTTGTTTTCTAACAATGGTATAAGCTGTGATTAATTTGAATCCAGATGACAGTGTGTGAATTTTTATTTATAAATCAATGGTTGCTTTTACACGTTTACTCTATCACGCACGAATAGGTTTTCAGTCAGAAAAGAATGAACATAATAATTCGCACGTCCCTTGATCATGCGTGCTTTAGCGGCTTTTTGTCAAATGTCGGCCATAATGCAATATGGCCGACATTTGACTATAAAGTAAATATAATTATTATTTTATGTTTACTGTTAAATATAAATATTAAATTAACTGTTAATATATTTAACAGTAAACAACAACAAAAAAATGCAATCCCTCACAATTGCACGCGCTAGCTTCTCGCGCGTGAAAGAAAGTATCGTGTGTAGCTTATATATATCTATGTTGAGTGAATAACTGTAATAGATTTGTTTTTGTGTTGTTCAGGTTCATCCGCAGGTTCGTGCTGTGCCCGGAGTGCGACAACCCCGAGACGGAGCTGATCGTGTCCACCAAGCGGAACACCATCTCGCAGGGCTGCAAGGCGTGCGGCTACCACGGACAGCTCGACTTCAATCACAAGCTCAACACCTTCATACTGAAGAATCCGCCCGCGGCTGATCCCAGCATGCAGGTGGGTTGTTATATTGGAGATCAGATCAGTAATCAGCTACCGACTGCCAGAAAGATGATTTGATTGAGACTATAATAAAGGAACATGCAATGCAGTACTGACATTAAATTCAAAACTTTATATTTTTATAATAAAAAAAAAAACTAAAATAATAGTACCCTAAGTTACTCCTTATTACATCAGCTATCCACCAAGAAAAGTCCCATCAAAATCAGAGATTAGCCTGAATAAACAGACTGATGACAAAAATTGTAAAAAATGTTATTTTGGTGTATGTACCGTATTTATATTCATAGGCCTGTAGTAAAAAACGGTTATTTCAATATTACAAACAGACACTCCAATTTTATTTATATGTATACATATAATTACCCACGCAAATATTTGGTCAACTTCAAAGTTTAAGGAGGCTGATTTCATAACTTTATTACAATTTTGCTACATAATAATTATTACCTACTCAGATTGTTTTTGAAAAATAAATACAAAGCAAATAAAAATCATTTATGAATGTACCATATTTTAGCCTCCTATAAACGCCAACTGATTTGTATTAATAAATTTTCCATACCATCCAGTTCAGTATACGGATTCAATTGAGAAGAACTGGCAAGAAATTAATTTATATTTCGTTACAAAAGCCAAATAATTAATATTTCGCTTACAGGGCTCATCGTTAACAGAAGGGAACCGCGGCAAACGGTCCAAGCGATCAGGACCAGGCACCGCCAACGGCAACCACGACGGAGAGGCCGCCGAAGGGAAACAGGTAATAAGAGCGTAATGTTTTTATGATCTCCTTAACAAAAGAAGTACTTTGTATCAGTACAGAACAAACTGAGAAATCCAAAGATTTGTAATGCATCCGATCGAAGATGGATATGGAATTGGTATGAATGGATGCAAATAACTCATCTGGTGACAAAAGCAACCTTCGTTTAGATAGTATCACATTTTTTCTTATTAAAATAGCAGTTAAGTTGATAGCCCACTTTATGGTAAACCGTATGGTATTATTTATTACAGCAAGACGCCGAGCAGCCAATAACACCAACAACGCCCAACGCGAAGAGCAGCAAGAAAGAGAAGGAGAAGGAGAAAGAGAAGCGCGAGTCGGACGACGACGACGACGGCAACTGGACAGTCGACGTCAGCGAGGCAGCCGTGCGCGCCCGCATGCAAGGTACAACACCACACTACTACCACCATATAATAATTTGAATTCATAAGTATGATTGTTGATATCTGTCTGGATGTATTCTATGCATATTATGTATTTAATACACCCAGAGAGATATTAACAATCACACTTAGGTATTTACAAAAAATGTCTCTAAGTATTTATATTTCTTGTCTAGTACCCACAACACAAGCTCTGCTTAGCTTGGGACTATGTGGCGCTGTGTGTACGGAGATATTATTATTAATATGTATTTTTCTGATTGTCGTCAGATCTGACTGAGGGCGCCAAGAGCATGACAGTGTCGGAGGACAGCGAGAAGAACGAGAAGCAGCGCATGGATTTGTTCTACGCATATGTGAAGCGACTGGCGGACGACGGGCTCGCTATAGGCAGCCGCGTCGGAGGAGACATCCTGCACGAAGCTGAGAGGTACTGTATTATTTTAGTCTGCACTAACGGTTTAAACTGGCTCTGTTATCTGCATAAAGCCGTTTGCATTTGGGCCCTTGTATATATACAGCCGAGACTACTAAAGATTATGCCAAGCTCCTCTCAGAAGCTCAGAAGGTTTCTTCACAGGCTTCACAGAGTGATTTAACCGTTCTGAGGATTTGTGTATGTTGTAAGTTGTTGGCAGGGCATCAGTAAACCGTAAATCCTGGTAAATTTACCTGGGATTTATCACGATTGTTTCCAGAGCAAACATTTGGAGATCACTTGACATATCTCAACAATACCTTTCCCCATAGAGGTACAGAACTGCTGTATCTAGATAATATAATATACCATTTGATTTGCTAGTTAGCGTAGCGTTGCAAGATGCTGGGTTTTATTAAGTATTTACACTCTGGTTTCAGGTTGGAAGTGAAGTCCAAAGCACCATTGGTGATCTTCGAGGTGCTGGTCCGCGCTAACTCCCTGGCGGCTGATGTCAAGAAGCACCGCTCGCTGCTGCTGCGCTTCACGCGCGGAGACTCTCGTGCTCAGCGCTCCGCACTACACGCACTCACCGCGCTCTGCAGCCACCACCCCGCGCTGCTGCCCAAGGTATGAGCTCAGGGGATGAGTTGGTACGTTCTTGTACGTCTACCCACCCTTGGAATTGCAGGTCACTAACCTTCATAATACAAGTACTTCAACCGTTATAGAAATTTTCAACCGAGGGGGAAATTGTTTTGTACCCCTGTTTGCAAAATTGGCATCGCCTTGCGGGCCATAGGCAGACAGTATCTCGGCTAGTCATAAATGAGACGCAATAACGTTGGTGTCGTTGCAGGTGCCGGCGATACTGAAACTGCTGTACGACATGGACATCGTGGAGGAGAAGGCGATGCTGGAGTGGGCCAGCAAGCCCTCCAGGAAGTATGGCAGCAAGGAACTGCTGGCGGAGCTCAGGCGACGCGCGCAGCCCTTCCTCGACTGGCTCAACGACGCGGAGGAGGACAGCGACGACGGGGGCAGCGAGGAGGACATCGAGGTATGCACCACCATACATACATACACATACACATACGGCAGCAAGAAGATATCGAGGTCACGCCTGCACCATACATACATACATACACATACATATACTCAATGACGCCGGCGGTGAGGAAGACATTTGAAGTGACGCGCTAAGATGATAAGATGTAAGGTCAGAGGTCAGTAAGCCTATCATCATGGTGGATCATCAGCCCAGATGGTATCCAGGCGAAACCACGAAGTCAATGTGATACTACATAGCTACCAATGAGGTAATCAACCCACATTACTAACAATCGCCTTACCTGTGAAAGTTAGGTTGTGGGACATAATAATGATGATGGGAAATATCTCCATTGGAAAGTTTACACTCTTTCCCGAGGAGATAAAAACCATCGCTCCTAAGAATATCCTTCAATTCTTGTCCCTGACGGGTCTAGGTAGCGAACTTTGAAAAAGGGCGAGCACAATAGATAGATCTATGTAGGTCGCAGTGCTACAGGTGCAGGTATCTGACAATAGCCCAAACAATCCAATAAAAATAATAATAGATTGTGGGATCCATCTAACTTTCACAGGTATATGACGAACGTAGGTTAATATGGAAATCTGAAGGGGATAAAAAAAATATTCAAATGGAAACTCGGAAACATCTTTTTCAATTTTTTCCATCGTTACGGAATATTTTTTCAGAACAGACATAGCCTGTGCCGTATCGTAGCAGTTAGTAAGAAATCGTTTTTTTTTTCCGCAGATTCAATACGACGACCGCGCCAAAGTGACTCCGATCAAGGCGGTGAGCACGCCCACACCCGCCAAGAAGCAGCCCGACGACGACGCTGACATCGACGTCGACATCGACGCTATCTGAACTACCGCGCTACACACACCACCCCACACCGACACGGACCTACACACACACACACACACGCTCTCACGCTTGACTTCTTTCACGTTTGTCCCAAGAAAACACTGCTATCACGGAGCAGCTCACTTTGTAAGTTTTATTGATCAGCATTTATTTGATTTTCAAACTAGTTCACATTTCGTTAGAGTTGAAAATTGCGTTGTTTAATTTCATAGTTCAGTTGATATCTTGGTTCGTTTTGTAAGTTTTATTAATCAGCGTTTATAGGATTTTCAAACTAGTTCACATTTCTGTAGAGTTCAAAATTGCGTTGTATAATTTCGTAGTTCAATTGATATCTCAGCTCACTTAAGTTTTAACAGCGTTTATATGATTTTCAAATTAGGTCACATTTCCGTAGAGTTCAAATTGCGTTGTTTAATTTCATAGTTCAATTAATATCTCGTAAGAAGAACGTAATTTTAATGCTCTAAATATCGACATCGTTTCTTATTTTAAATAATCAATTTAAGCAACTGAAAGTTATGGGATTATGTATGAACTATGTAACAATTGCAGTGAGGATAGTTCGTAATTGTAAAAAATATTATGTAAAATTATTACAATACTTTTAGTATTCAAAGGTTTGTTAGTTTACGATCTTTTTTTACATGTACATTTAATTTTAAATGTTAAATATGTGCAATTGTACAGTTATGCTTTTACAGCATTTGATTCGTTTATTTTTTACTAAAATAATCAATCCTGCGGTAACTGTTTACCATCAGATGGGCCGTATGTTTGATTGCCACCATCGTAGTACAAAACAACTAAAATAATCATCACACTTGAAATTTGAACTAGTTTCAAATCTAAATGAAACTTGCGTTTAATTTATTTACATGTGTTTACATCTTCTAATTATTAGTCATATATTTTTGTTATATATATCTTAGTACGTTAGAAACTTGAATTTGTATTTACAATTCTTCTATTTATTTTTTAAAACTCATTATAATGGGATTTGTATGAAAGAAGCCAAATGAATATACACGCTTTATTCAGAGGTAGATAATTGCTAGATGGGCCACATAATGCATCCAACGGCGGAACTTCAATATACGAGTAAATCGGCATTTAAGGAAACTTGAGCCAAATTCTTATTAGAATAGAATTCATATTTAAATATTATTATATTAAGCAATTTTCATTATTATGTAAAAATGTGAAAGTAGATGAATATTGTAATGTATGTATGCTAATAAATTTGAATTTGACAATTCAAGTGTGATGTCACAGTCGGCTTTCCAAAGCATTTCTTGATAGAAGTCTAGCATCCCTTTCTGTCGCATAGATAGGATTGGAGTCGAAGCGAGGTAGACGATGGGTTAGTAATGCAAGTTCAAATTTATCAGCATTAACTTTGTATTTAGAACTTTTGACAATATTGGTTCTTTGTCAGAGTTATAATTTGGCTCTTGTTCCATCTAACTCAATATATTAAAGGATATAGAATAAGTATTTAATATATAATTTCAATATACATAAATACAGTAGTTGCAGTACTTGTGAAGGATATAGATTTGTGTATTTCGATGTTGTATACAGGGTGTAATCGAAAGGGTATATTTGTGAAGTATAGTATTTTTGAAACTGTGCAACATTTGTACGGAATGCTTTTGGTACTTCCACACAAATGTTGACCTCCTTCAAATAAGGCGATTGTGTTATTATAATGTTCGGTTTTATAAATCCATGGACTTCTATTCCCCTACACCTTGTATATGAATGTATAATAGGTTTTGACAATTGTCTATCTCGTGTATACATTTTGTATTTAAACCCAAAGTTAAGTAATAGTTAATTGGTATTTACTAATTGTCTATTGAAAATATTATACAATTCTTAAATTTATATTAAAACTTTACCCATTATCCTTCTCTCTTGAATAATGTACTTCTAAGTTATTAGTGATGATTACAGTTGCATAATCATTTTTAACTTAATTTTATTTAAACTCGTAATAAATTGCAACATGTAAAAACTTGCATATTTTACACGTTATCGCGTTTTTTAACCAAAATACACGTCGCAAAATATATGTCATACGTTTTGGTACAAAACATTTTTATGACGTTTTATCCTAAAAATTTTCAAAGTTATTTTATATTTATAAAGTACATTATTTTTAACAAAAACAGTCATAGAAGGAAAGAAACTAAATAAATTTTGTGCTATCAATAGAATTGATGTTTACTGTTCTGATCTTACTATTGTTGCAATTATCTGAATATAATTTTAACGTCGTTGAATTGATAAAATTAATCAGTAATCTACGATGAATATAGATATAAAAAACAGTAAATTGCGAACATGTCAAAAATAACACAATAATTTAGTCATTCACTTCAAAAATACAATGACCAGTAAGATTTAAATTTATTTTTACTTTAAAAGAACACATTAATTTAGTTGTTCTTAATGTATTGGACAGTTATGTGACTGTAATCATACTCTTAATTAATGGAAAACATTGAATGCTTTTAATATATACTATCTCGGAATACAAAACTAAATTTTTTCATTATTATATACCTTTACGGTTAGTTAAATGTATTGCTTCAAATTTTACATCGTTGTAGCAGCTCTCTCTTCTGACACTGTATCGTATTGCCAACTATAGCAATGGTTATTTGAAGCTGATTTTGTAAATCCCAGCATTTTTGTTCCTATATTATTTAATATACATATATATTATAGAAATTTTTATTACTTTTAATCATTATTTTACCAATATTTATTTGGGATGCAATTTTATGCGAGTTACACCAAGGTTAGCCATATAGGATCTCATACTTTCTCTCCTAAGATGAATTTATAGTCACAAAAGTCTGTGACTGCAATACGGAATGTGCTGTTATTATAAAGGCAATATGCATTTGTATGGAATATTGATTAGAAAATGATTTAGTATTTAAAATTGTGAAACTGATGGTTGTACAGAGTTGAGTCTTATTACAATAGTATAAGGTTCGACATTACATTGTCAATTGGATAAACTATCAAATCAAATTATTATTTTATTATAATTACTTCATGTAGATCTATTACAGACTCTTATGATATATCAAATCTACCGTCAGATTGGAGTACTTTCGAGCCAGGAAGCTCTTATTCTTTTCAAATGTGGTGGTATAACATAAAAATACAGATTCAATTTTAATTCATACCAGTTCCTACAACCAGGACACTTTTAGGGATTTAATAATTGGAGTCGTCTGATATGAACCTTTATAATTTAAGTCACTACATAACATACCAGCTGGGCCCGTGGTTTTACCCGCGTTATATTTCAATAAAAAATATAGTCTGTGTTATTCTAATGCATAAGCTATGTTACTGTACTTTCATCAAAGTTAGTTCAATAGTTTTTACGTGAAAGAGTAACAAACATGCATCTATAGTCACAAACTTGTATAATATTACTAGCTGACTCGCGCAACCCGCGAGCTGAAACGCGTCTGCGTTTCATTTCTCTACCTTTTGCAATATTATTCATTGCAGCTCCGTTCCTATTGGTCCTAGCATAATGTTATATAAAGCTTAAAGCCTTCATCGACAAATGGACTATATCTAACACAAAAATATTTTTTCAATTAGAACCAATAGTTCCTGATATTAGCGCGATTCAAACAAACAAACTCTTCAGCTAATATTAGTATAGATTAAGATAATAGGTTCTTTTTGCTGTACAATGTAAAAACAGGCTGAGACTCTACTCTGTGCAACTTACTTTATATGTATATGTAACGTAGGCTAGTTTACTGATGGGCCCCATGTAAGCGCGCACGCAGCACGTATGTTAATATACCGGGACGCGGCGAGTTTGCGGGACTACTGTGGGCAGTTTCCTCTTATTATAATACTATTATTAAAATAGAATATATTAAAATTGCCACCTGACAATTTATTAGATTTGTTTTGTATTCAATACATTTGGATTCCAAAAATGTTTGGCTTTTCATTTATTGAACCATAGTGAGTTACGAATTAAGATTAAGGATTTAGGTGTCCTATGATTGCGGATTATACCTTATAGCTGAGGATATATGTTTTTAACTATTCTAATGCTGTTGACCTATCACTTCATCAGACGAAAATGTTTTTGTAGAAAAACATAAAAATTCATGGTGCTGTATCTGATTACACTAAGAATGAGTGCATAGCGGTTTCTATGTTGATTATCGCCTCTTGCTTGTTATTGTATAATTATTTATATAAAAAAAAAACATTATTCGAAAGAGCAACACACAAGTTTCATGCTCATTTTTTTTAGTTATATATCTTCATTCTAAATGAGTGGTAGAATAATAATATTACTATTCAAAAGTGCTTGTGTTGAGTTTATTTGAATGAAGATTATTAACGCCAGTACAGTAGTAGTTTCTGCCTGACTGATACGGTTTTATTCTTGAGTGTATCACTAGAGATTCGATGCTCTGCTAAGGCAGGTGTGATTTCGATCCCCGTTCTATTTGACAGGGAAATCTATCAGAAGGGCCTATACTATCCTATCAGACTTCAAGGTTTTGTTGACCTGTTGTTACATTCACCAAAAGGTTCGTGTAAAATAATACAATAAGTTACAAAAAATATATTTAATTTACTCAGTGCAATGGATAATTTTTTATATAGGTACAATGAGTTAAATAATCACAAATAGCTTTGTCATGAAACTTATTCTGCATGAAATTTAACAATAATAATATCTATTAATGATTTAAATAAGCTACGTAAATGCAGAAAATTGAGCAGCTCTGAAAATACATAAAGTAGTTGTATTATTAATAAAATTAAATATATATTTAAAAAAAGAGAAAATGTTTAAAACAAGTTTTAAAAAGAGAAAACAATAGTAAAAATATATTAGCTATAACGTCCCGTTTTACAGCATATACCTACTATTTATATTTGTTATTAACATAAGCTTAGTTAATTCTATACTAGCTACCCGCCCCACTTCGCCCCACACGGGTGTACATGTATTATACATAAACTTTCCTCTTGAATCACTCGTATCTATTGCTAAAACTGCATCCGTGATGTCAAAATCCGTTGCGTAGTTTAAAAGATCTAAGCTAATAGACACTGGAAGCGACTTCATTTTATACTATGTAAAGATATAAATATTAGCAGCGTTTAGCATATACAAATGGAAGACAAATATACATAAGATATGCCAATGTGCAGTATTTACATATTTAATAGCAATCGATTTCTACTTGGTAATCATTGTTCAAAACCATAGCGCAAATTGCTTTTGATTGAGAAGCACCTCTCCTGTGACTATATACTAAAGTATATATTTCATCCATTCATAATTTAAGAGCTACGCTCTTGTCTGTGGAGCTCTTGCCACTTTCCGCGATCTTCCATCATGCTCTTTAATGTATATTATATTTTAAAAAACTTATTAAATTTATTCCTCACATTTTTTGTTGGATTTTAAAACGACTCTAAATCCATTTTTTATGATACTGTAACTTACGAATTTACTGACTGTTCATTTTATTACTAACAGCTAGTTAATTCCCACGGTTTCACCCGCTTATCTGTCACTAATACCACAGATAACATAATATTACATAGTTATACGGATGTATAGGCTATAATTATTGTAAAGTTTCATTAGAATCCATTGAATAGTTTTTGCGTGAAACAGTATCAAACAACCATCTAACCATCCACATTTACAAACTTTCCCGTTTATAATATTAAGTAAGAACACCCCCTTACTTTCAATTACGGTGGTAACTGGTTCGATTAGATTCGATGGTCAATGATTTTGTTAGTAAGATTACTTTTGTAAATAGATTTTCTAAATTGTATAATGGAATAATACATCCGCCTGCGCTAACTGTTTAAGCTTACCAATGAAGGATGATGAAATGAGCATGAAATCAGGTCAGTTAACCCGTCGAGAATTTTAGAAATCGAAATTCCAAGGACTTTATTGATGATGGAACCAAAGTGGAGTCGACCTGACTTCATACATTGCTAGCAATAGGTTATTAGTCCACATTACTAATAATCTACCGTTTATAGATTTAGAGATAGTTTCAGAATCAATTTTTTGTCATTTATAATATATATGTACTCATATATACTTATATTCAACTTTGGTATAATTACACTAGGTAGATATTAAAGAAATGATTATTCTATAGCAGTAACATTTTTTTATGCTAATTTGTAATGATAGACAAAGGTACTTATCATCAGTACATATCTACGTAATTATAATATAGTTTATTATTACACAATATAATATAGTTTATTATTACACATAGTATAGTTTAGTCATTACACATAAGTACATTTATAAGAGCTGCAAATTAGGGGCCGTTCAAGTATTACGTAAGTAGATTTATTACAATTATTTACTCCCCCATCTCACTTGTTATCAACAGTAAGCAAAGCTTACCCCATGCTTACGTAAACATTTTTCAATTAATGTATTGTTTTTTTAGCAAAGACAATGTGAGGGTTGCAGTTTGTGTAAAAAAGTAAATGACTGCCGATGACGAAATCATCATCTAGACTAGACCCCCATGTCATCCAAAATAAGCAAAGTAATGAACCCCCCCCCTCCCAAGTGTTTACGTAATACTTGAACGACCCCTATAACATAACGTTAAATGACTGATCAGTTAGAATCATTTATATCTAATGATTACTTACATACTATTAACTTAAATATAAAAACTTAAGTGTCTTTGTTTACAAAATATACAAGATTCTAATATTAACATTATTTTAACACCTATCAGTGTAACATACACTTTAGTATACACTATTGGAGCACCGAGGTCATCAAACATTTTATATAAATATGTAGCTCCAACTATACAGCGCCGTCTACATCCAAAGTAAGTAAACATATTTAAACTTAAAACGTATTGGTACAAACATTTATATTCATGAATACAAATGTTTGTACCAATACGATCATGAAAATTTGTATCAAATCTAGTTGTTTCCCTATCAGTTGTCTAGTACCCATAATATAAGCTATTCTTACGTTGGGACTAGATAGCGCCGTGTTATGTATCCAGGGTTACTTTTATTATTTTCACTTACAGATACTAAGGCTGTACTAAAACAAAATAGAGATCTGTACAATGTTGCACCTTTAAAAAGTGCGGATTGCTAGCTATTATTACACACAAGTAATGTATAGTCACTATCCGGCCTGCTGTATGGCTGGTTGTTGCACCGCCACAGTAGGCACGACTCCTGTACTGGTGGGGGCGACACTGAACGAGGTGATGAACACGTTCACAATGGTGATGAGGAATATTCCCAGCACGGTCATGTTGTTTATTTTATCCGCTTTGCAAATGTCCTTCTCATCTTTGACATTGTATCTGCTGTTCAATATAAGCCCAATGCCCACGCCGATCTGAAAACATGAAAAAAAATAGATTTAAATTTTTTTAAGCAACAATCTCGTATGGGATGGCAGTTATGAACCCTGGTTTCTGTATTCCGCTGACTATGTATATTATGTTTGTATTTACAAATAAAAGTATCTGCCTAAGTTTTTATAACAGTTTAGTACCTATAACAAGCTTTGCTTACTGTGGGACTAGATGGCGCTGTGGTAATTGTTCAGTGTTCGATCCCCCGTCCAATTCAAACGGGGATCGAACGGCCTGTGCCGAAGTTCGAACCCCTAGCGGTGCTCTCAGGCTAAAGACGTATCCGTCAGGTAGGACTTGGCCTTCAGCTCCATAAGTTCTTTCGTGGGTTTGGAGCGCCATCTGCACTCGCTACCTATCGTCTAGCGAAGCTTTAAAGGCCCGCTGTGGCCAACAGCGTTAGAGTAGTCTGAAAAAAAATCTGGGTTATTTATTATTTATACTTACTTGCAAAATAATGCTGAGGGTGATGAATGTAACGCTCGAGTAATAGTACGGATGTCCACTGGATGTCTCTATCACGTATCGCAGCTGGTTCGCGTTGGCTGACAACAGAGCTAGATCCATCATGCCTTGCGCCAAGTTCTTCTTCTGCTGGTAAGTGTTCACGTCTGGTATGACCTGCAGGGAAATTTGAATATTGAAGTGTGTAACTATGGGTATATATCATCATCATCATCGCAGCCCGGAAGACGAGAGAGAGAGACGATCGGTCTTGCGCTGCTCGCATCCAAGAGAGAGAGTCGTCGGTCCACCTTGGTTCCCACGCTGCGTCTTCCGGGATTAACAATTAGGTAATTGTTAATAATGTGGAATAATAACCCCGTTGTTAACAATCTACCATGTTAGGTTGGCCTCCAGACGGTTCCTCCTGGAAACTATCATGATAAATTGGCTACGTTGCCAATTAGGCTGTGATATAGTGATGCAAATCAGCACGTTCGATAGTAGATTGTACCAGTCTACGTTTTATCTAACGACACGTAGGTCACGCAGTTGCTCATATAGGTATATAGTTTATGTAATTAGTGTAAGGTAGAGTAATTCAAGATGTAACAGTTAATATACATGTTACACCCTACTGTCTGTGTTTACTCTCACCACCGCTCCTGTCATCACAAGGCTGACTGACCTGGCCTCCACTGGTGCCTCACCAGCGTAAATTGTTGGCACAAACAGGTGCATAATTTCATTCCACAAAAAAAACTTAATCAAACATTCATACTCATGAGTACACATTTGCAGTGTGCAAGGAATCGAACCCACCGCAGAGAAGAAGGTGAGCTAAACCGGTAGACTTAGACTATCTTACGGGGTAGTTAGAGAGAGATATATTTTTCCATGACCTATGCGAAACGTACGAGGATGAAGAAAGGAAAATGAATAAAATATACGATATGTAAATCACTCATAACTTGTCTCAGGTTCACCTATTTCGTGGACACTTGACTCCTCCGATTAGTCTATAGATTTTCTATGTATCTAATATATAAAATTCTCGTGTCACAGGTTTCATGTTTATACTCCTTTGAAAAGGCTAGACCGATTTTGATGAAATTTTATATGTATTAGGATTAGTAGTAGGATAGTTAATTATAATTTTTTTTTTCAACAAAACATTTATTTTTAATTTTTATGATGTGGCATTAAAAATACATACATTCCCTAAATTTTCACCCATCTATCATCAACCCCTAATTTTCGATTTTAATTTATGTGGCAAAACAGCTAGTACATAGGTACATATTTAGGCTGATAACATTTACAAACCTAAAAGTATTGCAAACATTATTTCCATGCTTTTACTTATCTTAATTTTTGTAAGACAGCTGAACATGGGGTTATGTGGGCGTGTTCCTTTGCCTTAACTTTATATTTACGCATAAAAAAATGATAGAATATATTACCCCAGGTAAAGGAGAGCCCGGTCTGTCGTCGACGCCGAATCTTGTTTCAGTGCCATTAATTCCTGCAAATAGAAAATTTGAATTTAATTCTAGAACATATAGTCATGTACCTACTATAAGTAAAAAGATGCCAGGCCCGTCACTTAGAAAATAAATTCTAAGAAACTATGTAATAATAATTTTAATCATTATATATTTGCAACCAAGGGGTGATAACCTTAAAAGCAGGCTTCAGTCTCTAACAAAACAATTTCTGTATATAATTTTGTACGCATTTTACAATAAAATTACAATAGTACTGATTAAAAAATGTATCAACTAAATCTATATATATATATAACTCAAAGGTGACTGACATAGTGATCTATCAACGCACAGCCCAAACTACTGGACGGATCGGGGTGAAATTTGGCATGCAGGTAGTTATTATGACGTAGGCAACCTAAGAAAGGATTTTGATTAATTCTACCCCCAAGAGAATAAATTAGGGGATGAAAGTTAGTATGAAACTTTGTCAATTTTAAATCGATCGGGCTGAGACTTTGCATGCATAAAGCTACTATGACGTAGGCATCCCCTAAGAAAGGATTTTGATAAATTCCACCTCTAAGGGGATAAATTAACACGATCGAAGCCGCGGGAAACAGCACTATCTAGTGCCAAGCTAAGCAGACCTTGTGTTATGGGTACTAGACAACTGATATAAATACTTAGATTTTTTGTATATAAATCTTACTTCTTACTAATATTATAAACGCGAAAGTTTGTGAGAATGGATGGATGTGTGTTACTCTTTCACACAAAAACTACTGAACGGATTTTGATGAAACTTTACAGCTTATATATCAGATTAACTTGGCTATAAATTTCACGCGGCTGAAACACTGAGTCTAGCAGTGTTTATTCTATTTATACACCACCTACGTACCTACCGACATGTCAGTGCTATATAGGTTATCTGTATTGTCCCAAACAAATACCTTATCTGGCATGCGGTAAAACATACTTTATTATAAGTACATAATAATGAATCAAACATGAAGTATATCGTCAATTAATTGCATATAAAATACCATTGCGTATCTACGCAGCGTAGAAAAACCGTAATACTAAAACATCGATCGATTTTTCCTCCTTATTAAAGTAATCTTACATGGCAACACTTAATTTAACAAAAAGCTATAGGACCCTCAGTATCTTTGCTTTTATCCCATTACTAGCTGTCCCACACAACTTCGTCTACATCACACTTACTTGACATTTATCAATATTTTTCGAGAAGTTTACATAATATCTTTTTAAATTATTTACGTGTTATTCTGATATATAAGCTATATTACTGTAAAGTTTCATCCAAATCTGTTCAGTAGTTTTTGCGTGAAAGTCATAGCAGCTTTATGCATGCAAAGTCGCAGCCCGATCGGTTTAAAATTGACAAAGTTTCATACAAACATTCATCCCCCTATTTTAATATTAGGGGTAACATTATATCAAAATCTTCCAGCGGATGCCTACGTCATAACCATGCCAAATTACCTATCCGTCCAGTGGTTTGGGCTCTCCTTTTATATATAAGTTATATATATTTAGACATTATTCACACAGTCCACCCATTTAGTTAGGTATTGAAATAGAATAGAAGAAGAGATTCTTTATTCTATTAAACTTAAAATTTTCCACTTTTGAATAGTCAAGCTGGAAAGCTGTCTCAATCCAAGAAGAACAAACAAGACGAATTTCAGAAACTTGTATTAAATTGATTTCGAAATGCTGACAGTCCACCTGACGTCATGTGATAATTATCGCTTATATTATAAATGCATCACGGACATCATGTTATCATGCGTTGCCATTCCAGAGGATGATGGTGTAGTACACGAATGCTTTGTAATTTCTTTTAGCAATCCACAATAATTACATCGTTTGCTATTTGAAATACTTTGCTTACATTTGAAGTTCAACATTAATAAAATGACGCGGTTACTTGATAGTTTTTTGTCTGACACGTACATAGTATATAACAGGTTATGGGCCCAGCACCTTTCCACTTCATGATAATGGTAATGATTACAACTAACCCTGCACCCTATTAACTATACCAAATGAAACCAAACCGCAGACATATTTTTATGCATGCTATTTAAAAAAAAACAACGAGGGACATTTTTATGCATGCTATTTAAAAAAAAACAACAAGGCATTTATTTACAGCTCACATTATGCTCACCTTCACACAATTTACATGCAAATGAAGTAAAATGTTAAAGTATACGTAACAAGAGATTTTAATTAATTTAGAAGAATTATCTCACTTCAATTTCACTCTGAACAATACATGCTTTTGATAACGAATATTTAAGAAATGACGGATCTTCTACATATAGGAAGTATATAGGTTTTTTGAAAGAATTCTCATAAACTTACGTAAGGAATATATATATAAACATCACTTCGCGTTATAGCCAATAATGGTGATAAAATTACTAAATTTTGATAAAATTTTAATATTACTGATATTACATAGTAATAATATTATTTTACAATTATAAAATTTTGACAAAATTTAAATATTAAATAGTAATAATAAGATTCTATTCTCCCTCATTTTGGAATGGTAAACAAGGTCACCAGATGGAAAATAGTACAGAACAAAATAAGTAGCCACTGTGGTAAATAGCATCCATCGCCTATATACACGAAAAGAGCCACATATATCACGTTATCATATGATATCCGTGATACCACTCATGCGTTGCCATTCATGGCTCCATATCTTGTAATTTTACTGTCTTACCGTCAACTGAAGCTTATAAAGTTATATGCAGAAGACTTTTTATAAAGTCCAACGTGTGATTAACACTTTCAACCCGTTTTATATTCTTATATACAATTTGGAATAATTGGTAACGTCATTTCAGTAACATAATTGAAAGAGTTACATTTTAATTGTTAACTGCAAATTAATCTAAGAATCCTTGAGAAACTCAACGGAATTGTATACTCTAATTTGTGCCTTATTAACCAAAAAATAAGAATTACAATATATGACGATCTCTTGTGTTGTTACGACGTTATTATTATGTGCATTAGTAAAATCACCGTATATATAGTCAGGTTCGTCATGCCCGAAAAGCCACCGTTTACCATCGTCTGTACCGACGCCCTCGTCGTGCGTATCGTGTGGCCCGTCCTCTGTATGATGGTCACCACCTGTAAACAGAAATAAACTTTATTCAAAAAACTTAAAAACCAGTTTTGAAAAGTCACAATTTTTATTCTACCACTCAGTTTAAAAGCATACTCATCACAAGAAGAACGAGCTAGAAACTTATGTGTTGTTCTTTTAAGTAAATTTTGTTGTAAGTAAATACACATTAACAAGGATTAGGCATGCGACAATCAACATAAAAACCGCAACGCGCTTAGTCTTTGTGCAATCAATATTGTCAGCGCCTTGGATTTTAAGTTTATATTTTCTATAAAAACCTAAATTATACCATATTAATTGTTACATGTCTATACAAATAAATAACATTGAAGTGTCAGTTTGTAATGTCATATTAATAATTTTTCACTAAATGCATATGAAAGTATATCTTACTGATATTATAAATGCGAAAGTTTGTGCGCGTAGATGGATGGATGTTGGTAATTTCACGCGAAAACTACTGAACGGATTTTGACGAAACTTTATAGCAATATAATTTATACATCAAAATAACACATATACTATTACTTAAAAATATATTAAAGATTTTAAGATAAAATGTATAGATGATAATAATAATAATAATAATCTCAGGACAATTCAAGCTAGCTAAAGCTTGTATTATGGGTACTAGATAACTGATACAAATACATAGATATTTTTTTTCGTAAATATATACATAATATACATAGAAAACACACAGACAGATACAAACAATCATAATCATGAATACAAATGTTTGTGCCGTGCGAGGAATCGAACCCGCGACCAAATAGATGTATAGATAAATGTGAAGTAAGTATGATGTTGACGAAGCGGCGCCAATCAGCTAGTATGATAGTAAAAATAACTTGAAAATAGAAAAACAAAGAAATTTAATTTCGGTAATACGTGTTTTACTTTGATAATAACCACAATACGGCCATTGTGGTCATTATCAATATAAACATGTCGACAGTCGCGGTCAAAACAGTCGACAATGTTAAATGATAAGATTCTCGCAATTAAACAGTACCTAACCCAATTTATGGTCATTAATTATCATAAAGAACGTATTGTGGACAAATATTAAACGTAGAAAGTACAGTAGGATTCTCAGAACAACCTAATAAAAGTGAAACGAATTCGTAAGTGTCCTATTTTTTCGGCTGTCGGCCGTAGCTGGCTTTTATAGCTTCACCGGGCGATAGGGGGCGAGTGCAGATGGCGCTTCAAACCCGCGGAAGGACTTATGGAGCGGCTGAAGGCCAACTCCCGCCTGACGGATATATTAGTCTGAGGGCAACGCTAGGAGTTCGAACCTCGGCTCAGGCCGTTGTAATTGCGATCCCAGTTTGAATTTTTTTTTGACGGGGATCGAAATTAACTTTATAGCTTGACTGCCTAAATGGTCTAGTGGTTTAGCCACTTTTTTCCGATGGTCGTGGGTTGAATTCCGTGTACAAATATTTGTATTCATGAGTATGATTGCTTTATCGATCTGGGTGTTTTAAAAGTATATTATGTTTGTATTTACAAAATATATATTTATCCCAGTTGTCTAGTTCCGATAACAGAAGCTCTGTTTAGCTTGGGAATAGATGACTCTGTGGAAATTCTTCTCATATAATAATATATAACTTCATCGGATGACAATGGGGGCGAGCGTTAAAAATACTTGCAAATTTGCGAAAGGACTTTTCGAAGGACTGAAAACCTGTCTAACGGATATGAATTTAGTCTAAGGGTATCTCTAGAGGTTCGACTTTTAGCTCAGGATGTCGTAACGCTTTCTGTTAGAATTAGGGATAAATTCGAGGAGAGACCGGGAGTGACATCGCGAGAGGCTCGGTTGTTTGCATTGGTAGGTGTGTTGGGGTCGTTATCTTCGCCGGAGAGGACGATGTCGTGTGTTGATGTAATTGGGAAATACGGACGGAGCGAGAAGAACTGTATCTAGGTGATAATAAAGCAGAAGGGAATTATTAGTATCTACGATATATATATAGAAGCCTCTGATCATTACCTTCCGGTTTTGTTCCATCAGGGTCGAGGAGCCCGTCATCTATTCCAGGGTATGGTCCAGTGTTCTCTGGTCTCTCATCATCAATATCGTCGATTTCGGACTCTGGAATATATAATGTATTAATTTTTACTCGACTGCCAAAGAAAAAAACGAAAAATTCAAATTGAAATGTCACTGTTGCGAGTTAGTTTTGTTATATTTATTTTATAATTCTACCGTCCAGATTCAGTTGAGAAGAACAGCTAAGAAGGTCAACTGTTAACAGTATTTATTTAGTTCAGTCATTGACTTTAAAAAGAAGGGCAGTTACAGTTGTAATGTCTATTGAAAATCCCGTACAAACAAACCATGTCTGCCATTATGTGTATTATATAGTACAACTCCATTGAAAATGGTGTTTGTAATATAACTGTTTGTAATATAACTGGCAGCAATATTGAATTTATTTATAATTACAATCAGTTTCTATAATATAGAATAGAATAAGATCATTTAAAATAAACGCAAAAAAGTCATAACATTTTTTTTTTTTAATCTAAATTCGCAACCTGATTATAATTTATTTATAATTACAATCAATTAAATACTCAAAAGGAAAAAATATTGAATACATCCAACTTAAATAAGCAAAAGCAGTAGACTTAATATTGCTTTTGATTCCCGGCCCACCACGCCGCCACAAGTCTGGACATTTTAGTGAGCATGACTGCGCGGCCACTCAAAATATTGCTTTTGATTCCTATAATTTATGACTTTTATCTAATAATAATGTGAGAGAGAATCTTTAAATAAAAATAATGTATATATCTATGAAATAATGTAACTTTTGAACCTATGAAAGAATTGCTCTAATCGGTGCAGTAGAAAATTATAATTTTATTTTTTTTATATATATAAAGTATAATAAGTATCGTAAGTCCATCTTTTATACCATATTAAATTGATCAATATAATATGGTATAAAAGATGGACTTATGCGATCTCTCCTGGTAAACCTTTGGAAAGTGTAAAGATTCTCCATTGCGACTTATCAGCAAAAATATGCATACTATTTACAAAAATAATGACTATTTTAGAATGAGAATCGAATAAGTTACTTACCCGCTAACGGTAATTTTCTGGTGTCTTTATCTGGCTCTAATAACGGTAGTCTGGGATGACTCGACTCCACTTCACTCTTGTGTGTTGATTTTGGAGAATGCTGAAACAATTTTTAATTAATTAGTATATCTTTTTAATATAGTTACTATAGAATATTTCAGGCCTGCCTGTGGGACCATGAGTCTCAACGCTATATGTAAATATTTAGAGTTAACTGGTAAATAGTCCCATTGTGATGAATTAAATAAATTACAATATTGGACCCAAAAAAAAGACAACTAATTCAATATTGATAAAATTACTATAGGGTCAGAAACTATAAATGTACATTACTTAAAAAAATATATATATTTGATTGGATTGTTTATATTATCTGTGGCTAGTAGGTACATACAGGTCAATAAAGCAAATAAATAAAAATGTACCTATATATATATATATAGTACAAAAAGCTGGATTTAATGCTATTATATTGTTCCTTATCTAATTTTTTTTTCTATTCTATATGAATTTATGATTGTTCTCAGCTTAGTATAGCCACGGATAACATAATATTACATATATAGCTATGTAATATCATATTGTACATAAAAAAAATCAGATTCTTTTTAAAAGTAAAGTCTTGTACTCCTAAATGTCTTGTATGACAACACCGCGAAATACTTTATGTTGGGCTAAAAAGGACTTGTATCCAGAGCCGTAAAACATTAATAAAAAAAATATATGACGGCTTCAAAATTTTTGACAGCCGGGTTTTTTATGACTTTGTCACTACCACTCCATTCAAGGCTAGGAATTTTCAAATTCACATACGCTTTTCATCGGAACAAAAAGTGAATGGAGTCTCGCAATGTTTACATTGTGGCAAGGATTCACTGTAAATGCGTCATTGCTCATTGCGTTGGGGAAAACCGGGTTCTGAATGAATGTACGCGTGTTCCGGTAATTGATTTAATTGGTATTGGATATAATTAAGCTTTTTTATTTGAATTAATTTTCTAATTGCTCTATATCTTTAACCAGACGGAAAGTCCGTGGTTTAGCCGCATGAGCAATTCTTTACAATCCTTAGTAGGTAAAAAGTCATACTTAACAATCTTTTATAAGAACACAATTTTTTTTATACCACGTAGGTGGCAAACAAGCATACGGCCCATCTGATGGTAAACGGTTACCGCAGCCTATGGACGCCTGAAACACCAGAGGTGTCCAATGGTATATTAATATACCCTTCTTGAAAATCACACAATCTAAGTGTAATGTAATGTACAATGCAATTGTGTTCTTATAATAAGAATATATTTAAAACTAGCTGTACCCGTGACTTCGTCCGCGTGGAATTTAACTTTATTTTTCCAAAATAAAAAAATATTTCTAAAATAAAAGTAGCCTAAGTTACTCCTTACTAGATGTAGCTGATGAGCTACCTGCCAATGCAAGTTCCGACAAAATTGGTCAGACCTGAATGTACAGGCAAAACTACAAGCACTGAGACACGAGAATGTTATATTATGTAGTAGCTGTTCCCGCGACTTCGTCCGCGTAGAATTAAACTTTATTTTTCGAAAATAAAAGCAGCCTAATTTACTCCTTATTACATCAGCTACCTTCCAAAGTCTAGCCATTTCAGAGATTAGCTGGAACAAACAGACAGACAGACAAAAATTGTAAAAAATGTTATTTTACTGTATTTATATTCATATGCATGTAGCAAAAAATGGTTATTTCAATATCACAAACAAACACTCCAATTTCATTTATATGTATAGCTTAGAAGAGGCTTCGCGATTACTGATGTCGCGACGTATGCATGTTATAATCATATAAATTAGTACAGTTAACTAGTTAATTGGTGTTCACACTTAAATATCCATTGTTCTACATAATGAGTGGGTCATAACCTAGTTATAATGAAGTTACAATACTTTAATATGTTTTAGGTGTGTACAATTGCAAGAATTGTAAATAATAAAGTAATTAAAGGCCAGTAAGTTATTACTTCGGTCTAATGTGTATCTATGCTTAAATTTCGTCTTAAGTATATTTGATCGATCCCCGTCCAATTCAAACGGGGATCGAAATTACGACGGCCTGAGTCGAGGTTCGAACCTCTAGCGGTGCCGTCAGACTAAAATCGTATCCGTCAGGCGGGAATTGGCCTTCAGCCGCTCCATAACTCCTTCCGCGGGGTTGGAGTGCCATCTGCACTCGCCTCCTATCTGTAGCTGTAATGGCTAATTACGGCCAACAGCATTAGAGTAGACGGAAAGAAATGACAATGGGTTTTATTTAATAACAAATTTTTAACCAACTTAAATATAAGAGAATGTGTATTTATTTCCATTTTTTAATATGAATTCCATAAATGTTAGTAATTTATGAAATTCACAATATGTGTATACTTATTGTGGTTAATACGTGGTGAATTTACCACGATGAGCTAACTAACTTCAGTTCGCCTTATCTCATCATCCACCACTGTTGCCCAGCCAGTTATACTGTTAGTGCAGGCGAGTGCAGCATCCCATATGTATCCATTAAAAAAAAGTAAGTTTCCCCATAATTTTTATATATCCACTATATCATCTTTCCTAGAAAACAGTCATAAGGAAAACTGCATAAAAAACACCACGAACTTTCATGAAATTATTTCATTCGTAAGTGTCAGCTTCTTATATATTTCGGTCACGAAATTGGGGTTATAAAGTCATTAACGTTTTAAAGAGCACAGACTAAATTTAGCGCGTCTGATATATGTTATCTGTGTGCATACGTGTAATGACGATACAAACAGACGGCGGTAAATAACGTATATCTTATATATGAAATTCTCGTGTAACAATGTTAGTTACCATACTACTGCGGTTTGACCGTTTTTATTAATTTTATATTCATATACAGTACTATCTATCTATCTATCTATAATCGGCTACTAGCTATTTTTCATACCCCTAAGTTGTCCACCACTAACATTTATTTTTTATTTTAAGAAAAAATTTTATGTTATATTTTTTATACTGCACTTTATACATACATTGTAAATTTTCACCCTTCTAGCATTCAACCCCTATTTTTTAATTGTGATATAAATTTGGCAAAAGAATCTTTGCCGAAACTGCTAGTAAATTTTATATAGTAAATACCTCTTTTATTAACGCAAAGATATGAGACGGATTTTTTTTTCTTATGGATGATAATGGAATGGTGCACCCGCCTGCGCTATCGGTTTACGCTGGCGGGGCACCAGTGGAGGATGATAAGATGAACATAAAGTCAGGCCAGTTAGCCCATCGTGACAAATTCACCAAGAATTTATCATGATGTCTCTAGAGGGAACCTCGTGACGTCATTCTTACATGGTACATTGTTAGCAATGGGGTTATTAGTCCACATTGCTAACAATCCCTTCCCGATTGAGAAACGGAGTTGTTACTATCTAAATATATTATTAGTATCTACTAGTATCTAAGTATTAATATCAGTTATTTAGTACCCATAACTCAAGTTCTGCTTAGCTAGAGACTAGATGGCGTTGTAAGAATTGTTAAAAAAAGTCGGGGAAAGAAGCTACTAGTCCACAACAGTAACTATAATAAATAATTTTCCTTGACTTTGACAGTGGTAGATATTATCCAGAGTTCGCAGTATGCACCCACGCGTCTGGCGGTGCCAAGTTTTGTCACGCTGTCTGCAATGTTTAGTTGTTACCAAGAAATCTATGTAAACAAATAAAATTATAGTGTCTCAAAGAAATACATATCATAGACATACAATACAGACCCCGCTTAACGTTGTTTCTGTTTAGCGCTCTTTTTCCTTTTTTTTATTTAAGGGTTGATAATGGAATAGTGCACTCGCCTGCGCTAAAGGTATACGCTGGCGCGATTTGATACGGCCAAAGTTTTAATTGTATAATGTGTTCCTCTGGAGGTGATGTTAAATTAGGTCGTACTGTAGGTAGGTAGGTCGTACCTATATGTACACATATATACACAAGTTAAACTCGTAACACCCCTTTTTATTAGGATTTCAAAACAACAACGGATTATTACTCGCTCAAAATGTAGCTTTCTATTAATTTTAGCTTTCTATAAAATCGTTAAGTTTTTTTTGTAAATACGGTACTTTAAAAATTTGTCTCAGGTAAGCAAAGAATTTGGAAATTGCTGCCGACTGTACAGCGTGTAGTGTGACTGTAGTGTGTGCGTGTCTGTATTTGCTCATTGTCTTTTTGCAAGAAGTAATAAATATCAGATCATTACGCGACATTGTTGCTTGATTAGTTTTTTTATTTCACATATCACGTTTCCACTCTCTAACAATTAGAACTTGAAAGATTTTTTATATATTAACATATAAAACCTTTATTTATGTTAAAGAAGATACACAAAGTACAGTAATATAAAGAAATAAAAGCAAAGTAACACGCATTGGTTATCAATATACAATATAGGTACAAAAACGAGTAAAGTAGTGTGTGTGCTGCCTTTTTTGGGTATTGGCGACCCAAAAAAGGTAGCGCCTCATGTACCTCAAAGGTAGTCCATCAGCACCGTTGATTTTCAGGCATTGACTAGGGATATACGTGAAGACGCTTTTTTCGAACTATTCTAATAGTGTTGGCCCCAACTGGTGTTTACAGCTTCACCGGACAATAGGCGGCGAGTGGCACTACAAACCTGCGGAAGGACTTTTGCAGCGGCTGAAGACTAATTATTGCCTGATAGATACGACTATAATCTGGGGGCACCGCTAAGGTTCGAGCCTTGGCTCAGACCGTCATAATTTAGATCCCCGTTTGAATTGGACGGGAGATCGAACGCAGGGGCACGAGGGCCCCAGAGAAAAACAAGGATAGATTCACGATTCAGTTAAAGACTACACATATAAACACAACATATCCCATTTATACGAATAATAATAATAATCATCTTAATTTGTCTCAAATAAAAACTAATACAGTTGCTGAAATTTAAAAGTAATGAACGAGAGAAAACGGTCTATAACTCAGTGGGGGCAGTGAGTCCACCCCCTCTGCTATTCTGTTATAGCCTTTATTAGTAAATTAATACAATAAGAGATCGACGACCATAGCACTAA